TTGAGTTGACAGATGCACTGGACTACAATTACAAGATAGATGATTATTAAGAGCAAACTACAGATCAAAGTTTTGCTCCAGAGATTGATTGTTTTGGACTAGTATAGGTCATTGTTGCCATGCTTTTGCGCCTTGGTTTGATTGGATCTGGAAGAGATATGAACAAAGAGGGGTCACATGTAGAATCAAAGAATTCTGGCAACACTAAATAAGCTTTGCACAGTTTTGAAGTAATTACAGAAGATTTTTATTCCAGAATATAAATTTTCAAATTGACCTTGATTATTAACACTTCTTTTTCTGGTTGCAAAGCTGGTTGGAGGCATCACTTAATGGTTTGCAAAGACTTAGAAGTAGTAAGAATAATCATGCTGTGTATTCATGGCTAAACATCTGTACTATACTACCAAAATGTAACATAAAAACTTCTCATATGACCATCATGCCCACTGAGGGGAAATGAGAATGTTTTAATGCAAGAGAAGTGGTTGTATTACCATTTCTACCTTTCTCTCACATAAACAGTCAGTGTTTGTTGAAGGCAAGTGTACAAGGGAGATTTTCCCTCAAAGTTCCACCATGTTTAATGGTCTGTTCTAAAAGATGGTTTCTTTCCAGTAAATAAAGTCTTTTCATATTCACTCTGTTGTCGTTTTATCTGCATTACAGTGTCAAGTGCACATCAAGTCACTACCTTCATACTCTGTCATATTTAACAGTACACATTAGGGGTGACTATTCATAGTGTAGTCCAGCCTTTCCTAGCATATTGATTCAAGTATTAAACACTTACATGGTAGTGAATGTCGACTGAAGTCCACATGGGGAAGTCTTCCAGGATAAAGGGATCTTTATACATTGGTAACAACTTTAAAGGGGCTAAGAGATGCAAAGATCTCCATATATATATATATATATTGAAATAATGAGTTTAAAAGGCTAATAAGGAATCAAAGTACTATAAAATGGTAACACTTTACAATAAGGTTCAATTTGCTGACATTAGAGCATGATCATGATATCTACGAACAACAGTTTTAAAAATGCAAGTACATGTTAATGTATAGAAATTAGCACTGAACAAGAATACATGCTGTACAAGCAGGGTAGGTTGGGGGTATGATGCCATTGATAAAGACAGTGTGACTCTAGTTAATTACGGATTTCTCTGGATTTGTTGGAAATTTGGGATGATGCAAGTACAACTCAACAAAATATATAAAACTGTTCTAGTGGTTTTTGGATGTTTTAATGCAAAAATCTTACATATTGTACCTTTAATGCAGGTCTTGACGCAAGACTCTTGAGCCAATTACAAACGTTAATCACTTGGGTTTGACCATAGACTGTTGACCCAGCGGGCCATGAGGTCGGAATGAAATGTAGCCTCTGTAAATAGATCCACTCAACTAATAACAACTTTAGTATGCTAGAGGCATTTCCCCTTTCTTCAACGCTCGATTTTAGTGTCTTCATACTTACCTGTAAGTTCTTTTCTTTTTATTTGATTTAATTTTAGAAATGGGAAAGGAGAGGTACAAGAGTGTTTATATTTCACCAGATGTTGTATTTAGTTGTTTGGTATTCTATCTTAAACTGTTGCAATCTTCCATTGTTGTTTTGGTTGATCTGGTGAACAAGCACATGAAGACTCCGATCTCTATTATGTGAGAAAAACAAACAACACATTTTCGCTCACAAGGCGTCAGATTACTGCGGCATATATTGAGTTGCACAAGCAAGTTCTTATACTTTAACTGGAACGTGAAGTGCACACTGTAGTACTGTAGTACATTTCGCTAGTATATTGTAATACGTATTCGCATGCTTTACTTTCGATAAACCAATGGCCTTCAAATCCATGCGCTGAAGTGAAAGGCAGATTTACATGCGCGTGTGTGTATGCATGTATATGTACTTGTTTTCACTATACTTGTGAGGTCCAAATGACCTCACTTACATTGTGAAATACCTTGAAAACTCACTAGTGAGGGCATTTGACTGGTCTTAACTAGTTAAAGGGGTCATATGATGCTATTTCTATTTTGTTTCTTTCTCTTTGAAGTGTTACAAGCTCTTGGTGCATAAAGAAGATCTGTAAAGTTGCAAAGACTAAAGTCTCAAATCCAAAGAGATATTCTTTATAAAAGTTGAGTCAACCACGCCTACCTAAAACGGCTCGTTCTAACACGCCCCCACATGTCTATGTCACGATGTGGGAAGATTTGCATAACGCCGCCCAAACGTTCACGCAAAGAAAGAAGGCGTAACTTTTATTCTCGCAGTAGTATTGTTGCTGCTGCCATGTCGTGAAGACGCGCGTGTGTGTTTGTGTTCTGTGTGTTTCGTTGTGAAAGCGAAACTACTTTGTTTGGCCTTCC